AAGTTAAGGACCACTGCTCTAGAGCAATCGGCAAACGGAGCAATAGCAACACCGGCAACCCATGCATCTCCAACTGAGAAAACAGTGCAGACTGAGAAAGAGGCTTGATTTACAGCACACGTCTGTGTGCGTGTGTCCAGTAGTAGTTTAACGGTTGGTGCGCTACGCTACGAACCTAGCGACCCGAGTTCGATTCCCGCTCGCGGTCAACACCAGTGACGATTATCTGAACCAGTCATGGGCCTCCCCTAGGTCGACTCAGCCTCAACTGAGTACCTGGTGCGGTGCGTAAAAACATCGCCACTGGAGAGACAAAGGCGGCCGGGCGTGGTGCTGGCCACCCATCTCCTCGTGTGCCGTTCTGGCCTTCATAGGTGCTCGCTAACAGCACTTGCCCCAACAGCCTGTTAAGGCTATACAGGGGGACCTTTGTCCCAGTCCAATGTACCTGATCAGCGAATCAACCTGCCGTGACCTTGCTTGCCACACGTGTAGATGCGAGATCGGGGTGCACCGATTAAGGGTTTCCAACGATCTGCACCTCCCCTCTGGCGATTCTATGAATTGTCACGTGCCACGGTCATGGTCTCGATTCAAGTATGGATTCCCTTTCATAACGATGGATTAAATGTAAAAGTGGCCGCTGCATTTGGTTGGCTACGTACGGCGCGGTGAGAAATAACTTCAACATACATTGGGATCCTTGGATGAAATTCGCATTATAAATATGAATTATTATTATTACATGAACCCCTGAGAGTACATACAATAGAAACAAATTGTAAAGTACAATAATACATTCTCACAGATACATTTGGAGGTCATTGCCAGGAGATGGAATTGAACTAGCGACATCTGGATCGTAAGTTCGATGAGCTATTTGACCGTTAACACTGCTGCATCTCCCTTCCGTCTTCGATTAAAACATATGTGTACATGTGTGCGTTTTATTGATCTAGATATTTCTGTATGTGCGGCATAACGGTAACCGTTTTGAGCGCTCTTTGCATTAGGTTACCGGTAAATGCAAAAATTAACGAATTTAGCAAACGTGGTATCTAATAATGCATTAGCCTGCACTGCGTCCATATTATTGTCATAATGTTATTAAGAGGCTCACTAGAATTAAAGTAAATATTTGAACTATGATCGTCATATAAAGTGATTTATGACTTCATTATACTCTATGACTGATACTTTTGGCTCAATTACGTATTTATTATACATTTTTTTTAGTTTTCAAATATCGTATTAATAAGATATTACTCTTTCTCAAATTAGTTTTTTCCCCCAATGCTTTACAGTTATTACTAATGTAGTGATGTATTAGTAAAAGCATTTTCGGATTATTTTTCAATAGGCTTGGATTATAACGTAGTGTTATGAACCTGCCGACACGAGTTCAATTCCCACTCATGGTCAAATAACAGTGGCAAATCTTTAAACCGGTCCTGGGCCTCCCCTAGGTCAACTCAGTCTTAAATGAGTACCTGGTGCAATTTATAAATATCAGCACTGGCGCCGGCCTTCATATGTGCTCGCAAATAGCACTTGCCCCAATAGTCTAATTAAGGCTACATGGGGATGTATCTTTGTATTCCTGTTATTAATTATTTAGATGTTATTTTGATTCCTGCAATCAATAATCAAAACACAATTTCTTGTTTAAGTACTACAATGATCCTATGACCTCTCATTGATTACTCCTATTAAGAATGCTATTATGGGTGTGTGATGGTGAGTTTTCGTTAATGGTACTAATCATACAACGCGTGCTTGTGTGTCGCACTATTATGCTGATACTGTGTGGGTTTTGAAATACTTTTTTGGAACAGAAGAATTAATGTGACATCGTTCCGTAATTTTGAGGCATTTCAGGCGTGTAAAACATGTTGTGAACCAGCCTCAGAGCTGTGTTTCACCAGTTAACCACACTTCTCTGATGACGTCCTCAGTAATGATGAATATATATACAGTGTGTATATCATCTGGTCCATAACGTGTGCAGTTTACTCCTTAAAGTGTGACATCTGCTGGAAATTTCTCTTTAAAAGACAAAAGATGTCCGATTCCTAGGCCTATATGGATGTTTTTTTTTTGCCCTTCTCGATATCTGCATTACATTCTTCCAATAACTTTAATATCCTATCTCGATCATGAGTCTGGGTTCCCATCTCTCACCCGAACAGCTGCCACGTGATAATGAATTGCTGCTTTGTTGCTCCGATTGTTGCTAGCTGATGGCTTCAATAATCCGTGCTGTGTCTCCAATGTGTGTGTTTAAGCTACGTTAATATCAAGTGTTTGAGTGAATTTGTCAAAGTATTAAGAAGTCCCTGGGCATTTTCTTCATCAAGTATTGTTGTTGTCTGAGTGTGCGTAACATTAAAGATATATATACATTATCACGTGTGTATTATATTACTGTGTCATAATAAATGTCTATTTTAAGTTATGAATGTGAATATGTATCAATGCTACGAGTTTGTTGTCCATCCCCCGCACCTATGATTTGTGCGATTGGCTACGTACGGTGTGAAAGAAGTTCAACATACAGTGGATACCTAAAATAGGTTTATGCATTGTTAAACTATGTGTGTGTGTGTTTGCACTGCACTCGAATAAATTTAAATATGCATGCCGCTAATAAAAAAAAAGCCAAAGTGGGCTCCAACTCGAGCGAGTGTGGGAAGTTATCATCTCCTGCTTACAGATCCTAAGTCAATTGCGAGCTAACTCGACAGATAACAAATGCCTTGATGACAAAAGAGGTTTTGTTGGGGGGGGGGGCTAGATTGTGTAAATATAAATGTGTCGTTAAACCCGTCACCACCCGACACAGCCAATTATCACGGTTTGTCACGTAAACCAAACACGCTAATTCGTTACGAGTACAGCACACCGGCTGTGTTGGAGAATAAACCCACAGCATTTACAATTCGAGTACGACGTTTCACCAGTGATTGCAAGTGGCATCATCAGGCGACGGCCAAATTTGTGGCGGGTTTAATGACACATTTATATTGATGCGATCTGACCCAAAAACCCCCGCTTATGGCTACTATATTAGTCGCGAAAGCCTTCGTGTTATGCTTGCTTTGTTATATATGTGCTAGTGCACTATACCGCCGACGCAGAATCGCCGAATAGCACACTATATTGTTGTATTTTAATAGGTGTGTGGGTGTGAATTCCGTATGTGAGCAGTTAAGCATGCGAATTACGCGGTATATGTAATGCACGCGTTCACGTTCTCATGACAGGCATTGTGTACGACTACATAATACAGTGGCAGTGTGTCGGACTAGAAAGCGTATGTATATTTAGGTCAGTCAATGCACCCGTGCTTTGCATTTCCATTGATCCGCGTTCAATAATTGTCCGATGTATATACAAAAGCCCCCCTCTCCACTGATATGGTGTCATGTTTCTGCCAACCGTTTAACACGACGTGGTTATCTCTGCTCACTGGATCGGTAAGCAGACAGATGACAGCGAACGATGATGATGATGATATGCACACAAGTGCTGTATCAACGTACTCTTCTTAATAGCAGGCGCATGTTGTAGTAGAGTCAAGGGCTGAACGATTTGGGGGAAATATCGAATTGCCATTTTTTTCTGACAGATATTGCGATTGAGATTTGATTTGCGATTAAATTTGTTTAAGTCAAGCTTCAGTTCAATATTCACTGTGTAATAGATTTAAAACATGTGATGGAGCATTACCACATGATACCATCACATATGAACTGCTCTATATATTCTAATGCATGGATGAAAACTTAAAAGGTATGAATTGCTTCCAACATGTATTTATTATAAGGTTTTAATTTAAATGGAACAATCAAGCGTAGAACAATTGTTAAGTTAAATAAAGTTATAATAATACAAAATAGAAAATTCCAATAACAAAGTAATAGGACTTTTAAAATCGCAAAAATCGCAGCCTTTTGCGATTTCTAATCGCATTGTTTCAAATTGCGCGTTTCGATTTGAAATCGATTAATCGTTCGACCCCAGACTATAGTCTACTCCAACCGTCAACATAATGTGGAGTGAGCAAGAGTGTTTTACAGAGTTCACGTGGAGCGGTGGACACACAAGCGCAGTATAGGTCGGGACGCATCTTAATCGATATCGTGGCGAGCATTGACCACACTTGCCAAGCATAGATCCAACCACCTTGGGCACCCCCCCCCCCACCTTCTAAGCACCTGTGTGTAATCATGTACAGCAACATGCGTACATAGCCCCCCCCTCCCACCTCCCCATAGACCCCCCACGATAGCGTTGCCCCCCACCCCTCCCAACTTGGTTGAGTTATCATCTGTAGGCAGGTCGCTTCTTGCAAGAAGAAGCGAATAGCTCAGTGAGCTTTACCTGTTAAGATAAAAAAAATAGTTTCGTGCACTTTTAAAAAAGTGGTGTGTTTACCTTTCCTAGACTTTTCACCCCACTCGTGCTTTTTGAACTGTTTGCTGTTGTAACGCCTTGACCCGTCCCTACCGGACATCTGTGAGAAAGAGCTTTATAGCTCATCGGATTTCTCCTGCAGTGTAAACACACACACACAGTAGTCTGATTGGGATCTTTCCAGCAGACTATACAACACGAATGATGCTGCTACCAGAGTCCACATGGCAAGTGTGTCTACACGTGTGGCAGCCCCCCCCCCACCACCACCAACCTGCCCCCCCCCCCACCACCAACCTGCCCCCCCCACCAACCTGCCCCCCCCACCAACCTGCCCCCCCCACCAACCTGCCCCCCCCCCACCAACCTGCCCCCCCCCCACCAACCTGCCCCCCCCCACCAACCTGCCCCCCCCACCAACCTGCCCCCCCCCCACCAACCTGCCCCCCCCCCCCACCAACCTGCCCCCCCCACCAACCTGCCCCCCCCACCAACCTGCCCCCCACCAACCTGCCCCCCCCACCAACCTGCCCCCCCCCACCAACCTGCCCCCCCCCACCAACCTGCCCCCCCCCCCAACTCACACGTGCTCTGTCCCCGCCGGGAGCTGCTGCATGAGCTTCATCACTGAGAGCGGCAGCCCCGCGGCAGCAGCAGCAGCGCAGTCCGCGTGCGCGTCCCTGCAGCGGCACGACTCGGGGCACGCGTGCACCACCCCCACCACCCCCACCACCCCCATCGTCAGCACCATCACCAGCAGCACCACCAGCAGCACCAGCAGCACCGGCACCGGCACCATCGTCCAACGCACACCGCGGCGCTGGCCGCAGTCTCCCCGCGCTCTCCTCGCCATGGCGAGCGGGGAGGATGAGTAGAGGGAGGATGGAGGGATGGAGGGAGGGAGGGAGACACCTCTACCCGAGCGGAGGATGACGAAGACGAAGAAGAGGCGGCGGCGGCGGGGGCCGAAGATGAAACTTCACACTTGACAGCCCGCAGGAGTTTGCGCAACTTTTCTCACGGCCGGACGGGCCGAGGGCGCTCTTCAGCCGGCATTGGAGGAGGAGGAGTGGGTGGCTGTATCGGGGCTACTGCCGCTACTGCTGTTGCTGCTGCTGCTGTGGCTGTCTTGTCTGCCTATGCAAGTGCCGATGAGTCCGGCGGCGGCGATTTCTCCGTTTGACGATTTGTTGTTGTTGTTGTGTCCCGGCCAACTCGCACTCACGACTTCCCGAGCTCGCTGCGCGAATCCTTACCCCCCCACCCCACCCACTCACACAAGAAGCCACCCACCCACGTCTCAACTCCACTCCTCCCCTCCATCCACTGCGGCGTGTCCTCTGGAGGCCGCTTGCCCGTGAGTGAGCCAGGGGGTGGGAGCAGGCGGCCGTGGTACCGCCTGCCGGCTTGACACACGAGAGGGTGGGGAGTGGGTGGGTGGGTGAGTCGTGCATTGAGGCTTGCCCGCACCGCACACTGAGCGCGTGTTGCCGCACGCTCCTACTTGCTGCGCTGCTGTCTCGCGTTAAGAATACGCTGGGAAAAGTTTCGAAGTGAGTCTAGATTTGAAGCTTTCGTGACTGCAAGGAATCATATTCTTAGGTTTTTTCGGTAAAGTCACGTAGGTAAAACATCAAAATTAATGAAAATAAAATAAAACAAAAAAAAATCACGACGTTGCCTCCGAAACGTCGTGATTTTTTGTTTTATTTTATTTTCATTAATTTTGATGTTTTACCTACGTGACTTTACCGAAAAAACCTAAGAATATATTTCGAAGTGAGCTCTTCGTCAGCTCAGCCCGGTCAAACGACGAGCATCGATGCGTGCTTGTCGGGCGTTTTAAGCAACCCCCCCCCCCTCCCCGCTTTCTCCACGTGCCCGCAGAGGCCGGTCGGTGGACATTCCACATTCCGTATGGCGGGGCCGAGTTATGTTCTTCGGACAACCGCGAATGATTGCCCTGCAACGTGGTTTTCGTATGCATCCTGACGAATGGGTTGAGTCAACTGCCCAACCAGCATCTGAACTCAGGTGCGCGCAATATCAACCAGATCTCTTCTGGAGTTGTGGGAAAATATTTTAGTCGCAGGGCTGGGAGTTGGTAAGCGCCGGGAAATATTCCATGAGAAATAAAGCCCTTGATATAACTTCGCATTTGAGTACACAGCTTAGTTTTCATTCGGTGGTAAGAGGGTTTATTCTAGGGCTGATTTCATATCCCCATGGCTTTCTATGACGTCTTCAATCGTTCCATGTTCTCTTATTTTCCATATTCATCCAGTATCTTTATTTATCGTGGATTCGTATAACGTGCGCTCTGCTTGTTCTTTGCAACTCAGATTCAGTGTGCATGCAGTCTTCGACTTCTGAACGGGGCTAACGTTCTTGAGGTCCGTTCATGAGCTGATTTATTCGTATCTCAGAACTTAATTTGTATTGAACATGTGGTCAGTGTTATAACTTGTGTTATAGTAAACCAAAAAAAGGAAAGCATTGTTAAACTCATGAATAATAAATATTGTACATTTGTATGAAATACTGTAAATAAAACAAAATAAAGTAAAAAAAGGCAGCGTTATTGTTTTTTATTGGATGTGATTTACAAGTAACACCTTACTGTACTCATCTTCTTGGTTCTTTCGGTAAAGTCACGTAAAATGGAAATAATAAAATAATAAAAATAAAACATACAGTAATATAATAATATAATAAAATAATATAATTATAATATATTATTTTATTGTGTTTTATTTTTATTATTTTATTATTCCCATTCTACGTGACTTTACCGAAAGAACCAAGAAGATGAATCCCTGCAGTCACGAAAGCTTTAAATCGAAACCTTACTGTACTGTTGTGCACATTGATTTTTCTTATATTTTGTATTTGTAATTTTGCCTAGCATTGTATGATATCCAATATATAATGTATGCGTTTCCATCTATTTTACAGTTGACTATGCCATTAGTTCGTTCAATTTTTCAGCCTTCAATTATAGCGTGAAAATTAAAATGTACGTATTGCTATTGTGCATGTGTTGTTTCATTTACCAGCGTACGCATTTATTTTCTGCATGTCAAAGGAGGTAATTCATATGCAATGGTATGTTTCCTTTCATTGTCATATATAATTTACTGAACGCACTCCATCCTCTTGTCTCTTTATGTCATCATGTATTCCAGTTGTGTCCCTCCAACAGTGATTGTATCTGTTGAGGGGAGCGGTGGTGTAGCGGTTAGCGCTATGCACCTGGCGACCCGAGTTCGATTCCCGCTCACGGCCAACACCCAGTGACGATTATTTGAACCGGTCCTGGGCCTCCCCGTAAGTCGACTCAGTCTCAAATGAGTACCTGGTGCGGTGTGTAAACATCACCACTGGGGAGACAAAGGCGGCCGGGCGTGGTGTTGGCCATCCCACCCCCTCGTGTGCCGTGCCGGCCTTCATTGGGTGCACGCTAACAGCACTTGCCCCAACAGTCTGGTCAGGCTATCCGGGGAGACTTTGTATATATTTGAACACTGCCAATGAACGTTTTTGGGTTAGATCGCATTATTTATAAATGTGTCGTAACCCTCCACCACCCGACACGGCCAATCAGTAAAAAAAAGTGTCACGTTAACAAAAGACAAATAGGTCACTACTTTAGCCCACTGGTGTGTTGAAGAGTGAATCCACAACAGGCTATGCATCTACAATTATATTGGGGTTGGATGTGCCATTAGCGTGCGTCCAATTTCCCTGCTTTGCATTCTCGATTAATGTCCACTGCTTTTTGTGCACTGCTATTAGTTTGCAGTTGGCGATGTTGTCAGAGTATTGATGTGCGGTAGCAATGGATTGCCATTAAAACGTTTGGGAGAGCAAAGAAAATAATCAAATCCAAATTGTCACGTTTTAATTTGAATGTGGTTCATTTCTAACTGCTCTCCAAAAGATAAATTGTGAAAAGGCTACGTTGTGTGCTGTGATTAATTGTATTGGTTTCACAGTTGCCAGCCGATTAGCACCATCTCTAAATTGGTTGGAATCCTTCATGTGTAGGATAATTTGACCTCAAATGTATTCACTGCATCCTGAATGCATTCAACACAATGTAGAGGATAAATACTTTTTAAAATATATATCCTGTTAGCAAGTCGTTTTTTTTTTACAATGTGTACAACTTTAGTAAATGGCGCTTCGCGGAATAAGAGGAATGCTGTTGTGGTGTAACTGTTAGCATGGACTGAAAATCCAGAGGTCGCCGGTTCGACTTGAGACAATTTGCTTTTTCTTAACCGCCCCCCCCCCCCCCCGCCTCTATCCACCGAGCAGTCCTCATGAATTCGCGACAGGGTAAAGTGCGGGTGCGTCCACGTCTTCCAAGACGTCTGGCCGATGTGGAGGAGTAGGCCTAAACATCCTTCAGAACAGTGATTCTTAAGCTGGGGTGCACGCACCACCCTTGGGGTGAAAGATGTGGCGAGACATGAGCAGATTTTTTTGGAAGGTAAATAATCGAAACACACATTTAAGCACGAGCATGCGAGTTACTACTTTAAATTTTGATTTAAAGCTTTCGTGACTGCAGGGATTCATATTCTTGGTTCTTTCGGTAACGTCACGTAGAAGGGAAATAATAAAATATATACAACAATATATAATTTTATTTTATTATTTCCCTTCTACGTGACTTTACCGAAAGAACCAAGAATATTACTACTACTTTATTTCATGAAACCCTCTATGTATTTATTAACATTGTACTTTTTTTCACGATTGAGAACCGAAGAGGGTGCAAGGCTGCAGAAAAAAAAGTTAAGAACCACTGCTGTAGAGGGAATCTCTAGAGGGAATGTCTAGAGGGAATGTCTAGAGCTCCCTCTGGTGTGGAGGCCCTTCTGCCAACAGTGGCATGAGAAAGTAGTTCCAGTGCTCCACTTTAACCGTTTACATGAATAACTGAGTGAAGCAGAACGTCAGCACACTGCATAGTACATCACTTTGCCTATATTCGTATACGTACATAACAGTAGTGTAACCGGTGGCATGTAAGATGCTGTATGTACATTTAGATTGTGGTTGTTGTAGGGCACACTTTTCCATTGTGCACCTTAGATTACTATTGCTGCAAAAACATGTGCTGATTACACATATTCATGGTAAATTTTGCGTTAGATTGACAACATTATGTGTTTGGTTTGACAAGAAACATGTTTGAAAAACAAATAAAATACACTGAATAACGAAATTATGTTAGGAAAAATATATGACGGTGTTTCAATACATGAAGATAAACTTTTAATAATTCTGTATCCTACGTGTTATTGTAACCTAAGTATTTCAACGCCTACAGAGACTTGTAATAATGATGTATTACAATAGTTAAAATACTTAAGTGAGTATGACTTTCATGAACGTCGTTTAGTTAGTGGGTCATGACTTCCACCCATTTCTCTTCGGATTTTACTATTATATGAAATGTTTTTATTGTTTTACCGGGTAAGGCCCACTGAGCGATATAACTCTTTTTTCAGAAGCGATCTGGCCCCAAATGATAGCTCAACGAAGTGGCTTGTCACGTGGAAATGTATCGCAGGCAAACACTCTCCATGATAATATATTGCAGATCCCCTGGACAACTTGCACAGTCTTTTGAGTGTGTAACAACAATTGAAACGTATCAGAGAATAAAGCCGCAATAGTGTGACAGGTGTGTGAATTATGACAG